CGTTGTGCGAGTCCGAGCAGGATTGCTGCTCGTGCTCCGGTCAGCAGCCGAGCTGCTTGTCCAGCGACTGCTGCAATGCCATCGGCGGCGTCTTCTGGAACAATGCCTGCTACGATGTCGAAGCTGACGTTGGCGTTGGCGTTGGCGCCAACTGCTGCTGCAGCATATCCAGCTGCGACGATGACGATTGCTCCTACTACGCCGGCGACTTCAACGTCAAACTGGATCACATTCCGGGCCGACGCGGCGAGCTGCTCGCACGTAACAATAAGCTGCTGCGAAAGGTAGGAATTCCCGCGCCACTCCAGGCCCACTAATTATACACCTCTAATTAGGCGGAAGCCACAAACAGTTGTAGCTCCGTTTCCGCTCTCCACAGCGCCCACTCTCCATGCAGATGTGCATCGACTGTTTCCTAGGCCAACGCCTTTATTAGCCCAGCTGAGTGGCTGTGGCCCATTGCACGACTTGACAGCTGCAGCCAACTGTTTGCCTCTCGAGTTGGCTTAGAACTTGTGCTTCTCTTGGCCATTGGCAAACATTTGCCAACTCCCACTTGGCTGCTAACTGAGCGTTTAGCAGCTGTTTGCGAAATATTCCCACTGCAAGAGGCGATCCTTTGGGGCGTATTGAAGCAATTAATTAGCATTTAATTAGGCAAACTAATCTGCAGCATGTTGACCTCGTTTCGGGCTTGTTTAAGAAATTATTTAAATATATTAAATTATAAAGAAGTTGAACTCACTAAACTGGTGTAAGGATTGCCCAAAGAGTTGCCTTAGTCTAAACTTAGCTCAGCAAATAGAACTTGAAGCAGAGAGTCAGGGTATCTCCTAGTCGGTCACTGCTGTTGCAGCTCTTTTCCATGTTTGCTTTATCAGCGGAAATGTCACAAAATTTGTTTTTCCAGAGCCAAAAAAAATAAATAAATAAAAATAAAAATAAAAAATAAAATTAAAATATAATCTTAATCAAATTGAGGATTTGAATGCAAACTTGATTTGTTGCTGTTGAAACTCGCTAAGCCACAAAGCGGACAAAGTGTGTATAATCCCTCCCGATAGCAAGACTATATCCTGAAGTTGTTACAGTTGGAAAACTGTAAAATTTAATTTGATTTTTAAGCTAATCGAGCTGCTGTGCCTCGAGTGGTTGGATATTTTCAATGCCTGCGACAGGCATTAGAGCTCGATTGACTACTTTATTATATTATTATTGCTTTACAGTTTAATATATATTAAGATTGAAATCAAAATTATTCAAAAATGCCTATTTCATAATGCAATAAAATCAAATTTCTTTACAATCTTGAGCAAGCTTTAACGAGCTATGCTTTTCGCTCAGTGTCTCAGCAAGGCTTAGTAGAATAATGGAATAATATATATGTCATAAAGAATGACTTATAGATATGCATACTATATATCATTGATTTATATCTTAAGATATATAATCTGGCTTGCAAATGTCTAAGTTTTTTATAAATTAGATATAAAAAACTTCATTCGGAATTCTATAATTTTTAGAATTTGCATAAGCAATATATGAAGATTTGCAAGCTATTTTCCATCTTCACTTTTAATATGATATATATATATGATATATATATATATATATATATATATAATATAATATATATATATATATATATATATATATATATATATATATAATATAATATATATTTATATATATATATATATTATAATTATATATTATATATATATTAATTAACTAAATATTTGTATTCAAATTAAGCGCATTTAAATTTGGATAACTTATTTTAGAAGAAGAAGCTTAAATATTTATTATTATAAATATTAAATATTCAACTAACCATTACATATATATTTTTATTTATTTATAATTTATTCATATTTTCTTAAATTAAGTTTTTAAGTCAATTATAATTTAAACTTTGCTGAAGCTTTTCTATGCTCAACATAAAACTTCTCAGTCAAGGCATTTGTTAACAGTTGAAACAATTTCAATTTGACTAAGCTATATATATATATATATATATATATATATTATATATATATGTATTATATATAAAAATATATTTATATCTACATTTATCTACACCTCATTCGCATATATCTATCTATTTCACATTCGCTTCAATTTGCATTAAAAACTTAGTCACATTTAAATATCAAATATATCAAATAATATTTTAATATTATGCTCCATTCATTTGTATTGCAATCTCATAGATTTTGTTATATAAAACAAAAGTTTTATGGAGAAGAGAAAGTGAATCAATAGAGTTTGAATTGTTTGATTGAAACTGAAAATTTGAATATTTTTGCTGGCTAAAAAGCTAAAGAGAACATATCAATCTGCTGCACTAGTTCAGCTCCAATATTTATAGATAGAAATTTCTAAAATTTTACTTAGAGTTAAGATTCATATCTCTTCAATGTGCCAGTCGAGCTGAAAATACGGAAATTATTATGGGACTCACACGCTGCTGGCAGGGCAAGGCATGCTCCAATGACACGAACTGAAATTAAACTAGATACATGAATATATGAGTATATATATATATGTATATGTGTGTGTATATATATATGTTAGCTGCACAAGTATAGGTGTGAATAGGCATGTGTGCAAAAGGTATGTGAGGCATTACCTAACCGAACGAGTCTCATCAAAGGTGAAGGTGGCGTGTAATATTTGCTGGCGTGTGGCAGGAAGCAACGATTCATTAATAAATACAAAAGCAAAAAACAAAAATATTTAGCGAACCAACAACAGCAGCAACAACGGCAAACACTTCAGCATTTGATTTGGTTCGTTGTGGTTTTCATTTTGCGGTTTCATAACAAATTACGAAGACACTAGACATTTTTACATACCTAGCTATATATACATATATATATATATATATATATATATATATATGGTCTTCATTAACATTAGTCTATTGGTATATTATTATGTGTGTGTGTGTGTGGCATAACTGTTTAACTAGTTAAACTTAAATAATTGTCAAGCAAAGACTCGTCTCTCTGTCTCTCTGTCTGTCCGCCGTCCACTTCAACTTTAAGCGACAATTTACGCCAGCTCTTGCCTCCCCCTTGAACGTACCTGCACTGCCACCTGGTATCGCACTCTCTTGCCTGACTCTGACTCTCACTCTCGCGTTGGTGCGTGCCCGTGCATTTACCGTTAATACCTTTCACTTTCCCTATTGTATCGAACGTCTTGGCCATTCAGAAACTTATATGGATTTGCTGAGAGAATTCAAGAATCTTTAAATGGCTTTGACACTTAGCTCTAGCCATGGCTAAGACACATCACATTCGACTGGTTCATCAATCCACGAATTCCAATCTTTATGATCTAACGGTACCAGACTCAAGCAACCCAATTTCACTGTGACTCTGCGCGCTTATTGGCCTCGATTTGGACCCAGTCAGCGCTCCAATTCCGAGTCAGCTGCGAGCTGCGCCAGTTTAATGCCCCAACTTTGCGACCTTCACTTCTTCACCCAAAATAAATGTTTGATGTTTTGTCACTTTTGTATTTGCCTTGTCCATGGCATCGCAGCGTCGCTCAAGTGGCGCGCCAGGCGTCACGCATGCGCGTTGACTTGTCGAAGAGAGCTTGGTTTTTTCTACAGTTGTCAGTTTTCTATGAACACCTCGTTAATTAATTATGCTGGCTCTCACTTTTGATGAGCCTACACTATTTATTAGAGCTCATCATCATTGCTTGGTCTATATTAGCTCAAATATATATCAAGTTTGTATAGCCTGAGCCCATTGGCAATGCAGACACATAAAGGAAGGCGCGACAGCTGCCAATAAGTATATATATATATATGCCTGATCAGCTTGAACAGCATGGCAAGCGAATCGATTTCTATGAGTCCATCAGAGACTCTTTCATTGCTCATATCTCGTAAACTACCAAAGCTATAGACTTGATATTTGAAATATATATTCTTGTATACGTAATACAGCAGAAGCATAAAACTTTTCTCTCAAACTCATTTCAGCGCTAACAAAAATCGATCTATCAACCTAATTTGATTTAAGATATTTCCTGCATTGCTCTGAGCTCAGCTTCTAATTTCTTAGCAATGCTTAGAAAGTAAATCAAATTGAAATGAAAATGAAAGAAGACAAGCAGAAACGTAGCCAGCCGAAAAGTGAAGATCATTAGACCTTGTTATGAACAATGAATGCGCCAGTAAGAACTGAGTTAACTGAGTTAATTCTGACAGCCGAGCCGAGCCGAGCCGAGCAGCTCGAGTCTGCAATTAAAAGCAGAAACAGACTGTGAGCAGCTAACTTGGCCAATTGGGCAAAGTTAGAAAGCGCCAAGGCTAGGCAGCAATTATCTAATAGACGCTGGCTAAGGCGACTATGAGGTTAAAGTAGCTGAAGTAATTAAAACCCTCCCACAGCTTAGAACCACCAACGTCCAGCACTAACTGGGTAATTAGACTAGAGTTGCTCAAGCCAAGTTGGCCCGTCTTTTCGGTACATGAAACCAAAAAAGCGTGCAGCGCCCATGGAAAGTCAAGCGAGTTGACCCAGCGCACAGCCGAGCAGTCGAGCAGCCGAACGACATCGGCCCAGCGCAGCGAAAGTGGTAGCAGAAAGCCAACCAAGTTGGCCAAAACAGACGCAGAGACAGACACAAAAAAGAACCGTTTTCCACATTTAAATAAACGTCGTCTAGTTAGAAAAGTCTCAGCGCTCGGTTAGCTGTCGAAACCTGAAGATTTGTCCAAAAATCGCTGCCGGCCGCAAGATCTATGCCAACCGTTGTGTCTTCTATTAGCAGGTCTCTGTTTTAACTTCGTGTCTTTTTCTATGTTTTTATTTTCAGTTCTGTTGCCTTTAGTAGCGCTTAGCGCCTAGTGCTTGGCGTGTTTGGGGCTAAGTTCATGAGCTGCCCATGAATCGTGTCATATTTCCACAGTCACCTCAATCGGCATTACCTTTAGATAACTATATTATATATATATATAATTCGTTTATTTGCAGACTGGTATACATGAGTTACGACCCAGATCCATGGATGGTGTCATTGACTCGGGCGTTTCGTTAAATGGCGACAGCGGCTCGAGTCCAGACAACGGCGAACACCTGCAGAATCAACAGGTAAGTCAATAATTTAATTAGATATGAGTAATATATATTAAATAAATTTAAAAATATAATTTAATTTAATCACATTGTATTTATTCAATTTGTATTTATTTTTGGCATATTAATTTCATTAAATTATAATTTTTATTAAAAGATTCAAAATATTTCTTTTATTTTTGCAAATTAAATTAAAAATATATAAAATACATAAAAAAAACTTTCAAAAATATTGCTTACATTTGTTATATTTATTTTAAAAAAATTAAATAATAAATAAATTTTATTTTTTTAGTGCATAAAAAATGGCAAATTATAGAAAAGAAAGAAAGAAAATAATAATCTTTACTTTTGAAAAAACTTTTTGGAAGTTAAAAAAAAAAAACAATTTGAATTAAAATATTTAATATTTTTAAAAATATTTATATTGGCTATAAAATGTTTATTTTATTTTATTTTATTTTTAAACAATTTCAAACTATTTAAAATTACTAATAATTGAAATAATAATAATGCTAAAAGAGCTTAATAAAAAGCTTTATAGTTTGTTTATATTCTGCTTAAAACGACTCATTTTTAAGCTATTATTAAATTGCTAATTTAAATATTTTTATTTAATTTCAAAAATAAGAATCACATTGTATAAAATGTCGAAAATGCTTTTTGTTAGAGCAAACATCGCCTTCTATAAATTATAAAAATAGAATCCAAGTGTGTTTATGTTCTTTAATCAAATCATGCGAATTTTAAAACTCTCAAACATGATCACACATTATTACAAAAATTTTATAAGCAGTAGCTAAATTTTGCAACTTCAATAAAACTTCAAGCAACAGTGGATAAATTGGTGGAAACCGTTTATCTATTCATAAGATTTCGTAACGCAAAAGTTTTTATCGCAAATTGAAAACAATAGGTGTCTATGTTGTTCAACTTTTAATTCTGCTCACTTTCAATGGATTCAGAACTTAAGCACTAAATATTATATATTAAAGTTACGATTTCTAAATACAGTTCATATTATGTTGATTGATAGTAATAATCAGGTATTTAAGCCAAATCAGCCGTCGATTATGGATGGATTCAACTAAGATTTTTTTCTGCTTCGCTTATCATTTTCAGGATGCTGAGGCGAGAAAGCTTAAACAGGGTCATGTGCTGTCCGAGCTGTTGGAGACGGAGCGTATCTATGTGAATGAAATGAGTTCGATTCTAAAGGTAAATATGAAATGTAATACATAGAAACAGAGAGGTGGATAGAGAGACAGACATAAGTAAAGAGAGACTTAGGTAAAGAGAGACATATAGAGAGAGGGAGATATTGATAGAGATAGAGGGAAAGAGAGAGAGTGAGCCAACGGTTTAAGCCTGCTCAAAAATCATGCTGCATGAAATCTGAGTCTTGGAAACTGCCCAGTGGCCAGCGAACTGGGACCAATTCGAGTCTCTACAGAGCTGAATGGGTTCTTGGCTGGTGCTCAGCAGCGCTTGAATGCCCCGGCTTGTAATTAGTGCATTAAAACCATTAGGCTATATGTGTGGCAGCGCCATCGAACTAAGAAGATTCCATACATAATTTGTTACTGATTCTCGGGCTTCTGGCCTACAGCCCCCAGCCAAGCTGCTGGCAATCATTTAGCGATTGGCTCTTGCGCGCGACGGTACGAGTCCACGGCAGCTCGACTTGCATACGACCAGAATCAGCCGCAGACATGCGCTACGGGGGCTACGATCTGAGAAAAGCCTCAAAACCGAAGACGCCGGTTGCGCAAAGCTCATTCCGGCTGCGACGGGTGCAGAATACGGCATGCAATATAGTCGGACGATTTAATCTTAGGCTCGGAGATTCGCTCATCAAACGCTTCAACTTGCCGTTGGCTGAGGCCGTTGAGCCACGCGAGTCGCCGCTGTCGTTTCAAGGCTCGCTCTTTGACTCGCAGGCGTCCTGCGGCGGTCTGAGCTATCGTCCTGCGGACTTTCGGCCACGCTTCGAGTCCTTTAGCCCGGATCTAGGCAGCAACTACATATTCGGCACGAACTTGTGCAACTTTGCCACACACAATATACTTAATGGCAAGTCGACGATCAAGATTATCAATAGCCTGCAAGAGTGCGAGGAACGTGAGATCTGCGATAGCGATCGAGAGCTGGTTTACGGCGATAAATTGCTGCAGGAGTCGGCCACCTGTCCGATCACAGCCTATAATAGTCTGCAACGCTTGAAGGATCAGCGACGCACCATCTTCAAGGAGCTCATCGAGCTGTCCAGCTGTGACGAGTCGCTGGAGTATCGATTGGTCAAGGACTATCTGGAGTCGAACAGCTACTCGGAAATAGAGAACGATACCGAGTTCAAGGACTATTTGCAGCGCAAGAACTACATGGATATTCTGGCATATCTAGAGGACAGCGAGCCCAAGAGCCTAATGTCCGTTTCGTCCTCGTTGGCGCGGGCTCAAAGCTCCCTGGGCTCGCTTAACAATGCCAAGGTGCTCTCGACACCCAAGTCACTGAAGGGTCCTAAGCAGGTGCCCGCACTGGATGCTCAACTGTGCAGCTCCTGCCGTTCCAGCTGGCAAAACAAGATCAAGCCTAGCGACAATCGGCAGCCAACGCGAACTGAATCGGGCCTAGAAACGGCCTTGACCAAGTCAACAACAGATTGGAGTAGTTCATATCATGAAATACTCAACTTCTGTCGACGGTTTTTCGAGGAGAGCTTTAGCGATGCCAAGGAGCTGCCCGAACTGCGGAACACCAAGTTCAAGGCGTCCAAGTACAAGCAGCTGCTGCTGGATTTTGTCGTGGCCCAGGGCTATGCCAATGTCGAGCAGTACGTGGAACAGAAATTTGGCCAATTCATAAGCAGCAAGATAAACGCCTTCTGTGATAATGTAACTCCAACTTGAGAGAGCTCTAGAGGCCATTTCGAAATACTATAGCGAACTGCTTTGGTTCTCTCTTTTCAGGGCTACTTTGACCAAATGCAATCTGACGAGCTGATGCACCTGGTTCCGGCCAGTCTGCAAGGCAAGGAGGAAATACTTTTTGGCAATCTGCATGAGCTCTACACATTTCACAACGAGGTCTTTCTCAAGGACCTGGAGAACTGCATTTCGACCACGGAACTTGTCGCGCTGTGTTTTGTGCAAAGGGTAAGTGAGATCGAATGATGTCGAATTAGGAATTCCCTGACTTATATCTCTCTGTACTTTCAGCGTGATACCTTCTACAGGCTGTACTCGTTCTATTGCCAGAATATACCACGCTCTGATCGTCTGCGTGAAACGCTTGTCGACACCCACCTGTTTCTGCAGGAGTGTCAAAAGAGATTGGGTCACAAGCTGCCGCTGGCTGCTTATCTTCTGAAGCCCGTGCAACGCATCACCAAATATCAGTTGCTGCTGAAGGATCTGTTGCGCTTCAGCGACAGCGGCAGCTGCACCAAGGAGCTGCAGAAGGCGCTCGACTGCATGCTGATTGTGTTGAAATGCGTCAATGATTCCATGCACCAAGTGGCTATAACAGGATTCCCAGTAAGCACTCATAATCCATATGGCTGACAGTCATCTATATCTCTGCTCTTGTCCTTAGACCGATCTGGCACAGCAGGGCGAGCTGCTGCTGCAGGACTCGTTTCAGGTGTGGACCGAGTCGAAGAAGGATATACGCCTGCGCATCAAGCCACAGCAGCGACACATCTTTCTGTACCAGAAATCGTTGCTCTTCTGCAAGCAAACCTCCAAAGCGGGTCACAACAAGAGTACCTACCAGTTCAAGCACCACGTTAAGGTGAGCACCATATGCCTTCCTTCCTTCCTTCCCTTTACAGCCATTAACCGATCGCTTTCGCTGCAGATGTCACAAATTGGTCTGACGGAGTCAGTTCGCGGCGACACCAAGCGCTTCGAGGTCTGGCTGCAGGGCCGCCAAGAGGTGCACACCATGCAGGCGCCTTCGTTGGAAGTCAAGAATAAGTGGGTGGCTGAGATCAAGCGGGTGCTGCTCAACCAGCTCGAGGAACTGAAGGGCGAGAAAATCAAACAGTATGGCCTAAATCATCGCGGGCTCAAGCAAACGACTTCCTGGGACACGCCCAACATTATACTGGGCACGCCGAGTCGAAATATCAGCTGCGATGCATCCTCAGAGTCCTCCAATCGCAACTCCAACTGCAGCAGCGAAGAGAATGGCCCGGCGGCCGCTGCCTGCGCCAACTCGAGCGGCGGCATTGCCGACAGGGATCATCCCGAGGGCTGTGGCTGGAGCTCGGACTATTCAAACAGCGAGGACGAGATCTCCGTGAACGAGGACAACAGCACACCGGTAATTAAAACTTTTGCGCTATAGAAATCAGGTGTTCAGCGGACGCTTCTTATGGTTAATTAAGTTTATTAGTTATAAGTCTTAACAACTTTCGAGCTGATGCTCCATGACGAGGGCAATTCTACTTTCCTTGGCTGTCCTTTCAAGTCCAAGTCTGTCTGTCTCCTTGATATGTAATAACTAACCAAAAGTCGTCATTAAAAGTAGGCAATCCCAAACATATTTAATTAATTTAATTAAATTAAAATATTAAATTAAATAAAAGAAATATTTAGAAGACTTTTAAATATAATTATAAATTATATATACATTGGAATTATTAAGAACTCTGTACATTTCGGTGCGCCGATTAAAATTCTTATATATTTTACTTTAATTTAATAATTTTAATTTAATTAATCATTTGCGTAGCCTTAACAAATCAAACAATTTAATCATTTTTATAGTCTTATCGAATATTTTTGGGTTTATCTTTTTACTTACATGACAAACGCCAAAATAATATTCAATTAAAAATATAAAAAAAAAACACACACACAAACTGTACCATATATCTATATATCTATATATATATATATGTTTCATGTACATATATGCATTTATATATATAACTCAATCGGCGAACGCAGGGCTTTCTGGATCTGCTGACGCAGTGGGCGTCCTATAATAGCGATGGAGCCTCGTCCTCCACGTCCTTTGCGCGGAACACCAAATCCAACTCCAAATTTTATGTTTCCGTTGACCACTGAGGTGGGCTGCCCACAACACATCAAGTATACGTACTGTAGCCGTAGCTGCTAGGTATGACCCCCCTTAGTAGTATGATGCACGCCCTTGCCTTATGTTCGAATGATGCTTGTACTCGTATGCGTCAGCCAGTTATCTATAAGATGTAACACCTGCAGCTCTGTGACTAATCCATAAACACATTCCGTAACTAAACTGGCTCGAATCGTTGTGGCCATCTCTAAACAACATATTCATAAGAGTCAGACACGCATGCCAAGTTCTCATTACTTCTCGACTGCAGCTCATTAAGTGTGTAGGCCTAGTCGTTGGTTATAGATGTTTTTGATATTAGCTGTTATTTAATATATTTTATTTTATTAATATATATATATATACAATAATTTTTAGGCTAGTTAGTATTCAGAGCCTTTTAGCTGGGCGGTCAAGCAATTAGAGAGCTAAGAGTAAGATCAACTTAAATAGTAATGAATGAAAAACTAGGAAGAGAAATGCCCTGTGAAATGCTTAAATTATATACTTCTTCAGATATATATTTTAAAACTTGTTGAAAGGAAAAGATATACTCGTGGAAAACTCGTTTGAACTACGAAAGTAGCTCTAGCTCTATCTCATAGATCCAAAGGCCTTGCATACAGATAATCAATTATATAAAAAATATACAAGTTCTAGATATGAGAGACGTTCACTTGTCCATGTTTTAGACCTTTCTCGTTAGAGTAGGCTAAATATAGTTTATGAGTTTATGCATTTAGTTTTGTTGTTAAACTTGATATTTTGTTATATGATTATTATTTCATTTAACATTATATATATATATATATTTAAAAATATTTTAATTATTTTTTAGTTGAAAAATATATTTAACAAATTTTAAGAATTTAATTTGCTCTTTGAAGGTTAATTGCAAATAGTTAAATACTAAGAAGTTTAACAACCGCTTTAAGCTTGAGTATATTAACAAAAACAATTGCCTGCCCTAACTATTTACAACTTTATATATATATATAAACTGAATGCTTATGCTAACCGAATAATCAATTGTATAAATTTCGATGCAGGGCAGTAAATTCATTGCCCTGGCTGATTATACGGCTATGGGTCACTCGGAAGTTTCGATGCGAGAAGGCGAAGCTATCGAGCTATTAAAAGTGGGCTGTGCCGGCTGGTGGTACGTGCGCGTCTTAGGTAAATTTTTCCCTAAATGGCGCATGCTTTACGAACTGCATGATTTTACTAGATATCTATATATATATATATATATATATTTATATATATATATATGTATTCCTATATATAGCGATATTTATATGTTAATAACATTCGAAATTTAATTTCTGAACAGATACCAATGCAGAAGGTTGGACCCCGGGCGCATATTTGGAATCGATCAATCGAAAATCGTCAAGATCATCGAGCTGTAATCAGGAGCGAATAATACAAAAATAAATAGCTAAAATCAGGAACTTATCTCCATCTTCAAATCAAAAATCAAATGAAGTCGAGCTGCTTGACGTCGAGTTTTCAAAACTAAATCTATCGCCTTTTAAAATAGATAACAGTATTTGAGCTTTTTCTACTTGAAGTCCCACTCTATATATAGACACACTCTATATATAGACACACGCACTTTCGGAATCTGATCAAACTAAACCTTCAAAAATCTCCATTCTGAATCTGAATAACCCTCCATTTCGTATCTTTGGCAAACGTGTAAATTGTGGATAAACAAAAAATAAGTAAAATATATTAAATACATGCACTATGTGTGTTAGTATAAAGTATTTCTTGTTGTTAATTTAAATCTAAATAAACATGCAAATATTTATATTTATATATATATATATATATTAATATTAAGAACCTATGGCTTATGTATGTATGTAATTTGCTAGTTTCTAGTCCATTTTCATCGCTTTTATGTATTGATGTGCGTGCGCTCTATAGTATTTTGAGGACTGTTACAATGTTTGTTAAGGACAACTTGTCGAATACTTCTTGAAACTTATTCATATTTTAAAATACAACATTCGTCTATCTATATATATATATATATAAATATGTTTATTAAAGTACGCCTAAGTATGTTTAATATATGCATAAATAAATATTATATATAAATAAATATTATTATATAAATAAATATTATTTCTGTTCATTGATGTGAACTGGCACGAATCTTGCTTACCATAGACCTTAGATATAAGGAGATGATAAGTCACCAATCAGTGGAATACATTGGGCCACATAAAACAATCCAGCTAGTCGCTTATGGGCTCGAGAATCCAGTGCAGCAGTCCAGGCTGTTAAGAAGGCTGAGAAGACAATAAACAGAATGACCTACAAATATAAGCCTTAACATAACTATAATAACTAAAAACGTATTAACACTTGTATTCCCTTTTTAAAACTGATGTAAAAGAGTTTCACTTACATTGGCCATCTTCAGAAATAATAAACTGAACCAAGCTTAAGCTCTCCGCAGCTGCGTAAGTTCTTCTGCTCAATGCAGAGCTTCCATCTATTGCAATAGACGTAATATTAAATGAAAACCTTGTTTTAATTGACACTTATCCAATGGCAATATTTAAAAGCAGCTGAGCTAACACACTCTGTTTTCTTATATGAAGACTAAAGGCACCAAAATTAAATCAATTTAAATTCTCATATGCTCAGAATATATTTTTCTATAATATTAGAAGCAGTTTTAAACGGAAAATCGCTATGGCCAATTTTGCTTCATTAGAAAAATAATAATCCAAGAACCAAAATAGTTGAGATATTTGAGATATCTTCGACTGGAATCGTGGATGACAAACTAAAGATATGTAAGCAGATCTTATAATATCTACATATTCCATTATTTTTGACAATTAGTTAATAATAATTAAATAATGCTTGCTTTTTAAAAGAACAACTTCAATTCAATCCAAATTTATTTCCGGTCTTTGTACGCAGATTTCGTCACGAATAGGCAACATGTTAATGTAGTTCAATATATATATATTTATTTCGTAGATATTAAACAATTTGAACAAATATATAGATGACAGACACCCCAATAATACCTCAAAGCTAACGATAACTTTTCAATACAGGCATCAGGTTGGAAATACATGTTTTACAATCGATTTAACTGATGTACAATTTGAATACAGATTAACTCTGAGATTGTTTTAACTAAAGGCGGAACTAGATGATACAAAATTGTTGCACTTGCTTTACGAGTTTGGACCGATACAGAGAAAGAGTAGAACTAAGAAAGGAATGTGATTATCATGAACAAAACAATTGTATTACGTACATATTTATACATACATTTTACTTAAATAGTATCATATTCAATTCAATTTAAACTTTAGCAACAAAAACTTTGGGGATATTATACAGTAAATAAACAAATTTCTTCAACTTGAAAACATTTCAATACTAATTGTGGTTAGTTGCGATCAGCAGCAAAGCCGACTGCACACAAGTTACATTTTGTTGTTGTTTCTTCTTTATGGATTGTTACTCCGCACTCAAGCAAAGCAACATTTATTCTGAAGTTGAAGCGCAGATTTTAGTTGGCAGTTACTCTGCTATTCATGTAGAACTGTTGCGCAGAGAGCAGAAGAGTCAAAACGTAAATGCATGCCGCAATCCAGCAGTTGTAGGCATTCTGAAAAAGAGAAAATTAGTTTAGTCATAACAACACAAAGTATGTACGCATGTATATATGTATGTATGTATATATACCAAATACACATATATGCATCTCGTGCTTGATAAAAGTATCAACAGTTTTTTTATCAGCATTCTGAGGTCCTCACAATTCTCAAGGGATGGTAAAAATATGCATGTACATATTTATCTACACCGTTACATACATACATATACACATGAATCGACATTGACAAACACCAACCTGATTGTATGCACTATTCGCTGCTGTATAGAATTCTTCTAGGGTTTTGTACTCCTCCTCGAGTGGCAAATCCTCAATTAATGCCACACTGTGTATGTAGAAAAACAGACCCATGAGCACCTACAAAAACAAAACAGATTATTATGTGAATATTTTGGTCTTGTGACTGTCCCGTATGACCCCACAAAACAAACCAAATTCACCAGCACACCCACTTACCAACTGCACAATGCCCCAAACGGAGATAATCAATCCGCATAGGGAGCATTTCGGACCACAAATTTTCATTTTGCTAGCTTCGTTAAACGCTGTTCGACGGGTTGATGTAAATATGTTCCTTTTAAATTGGAATTCGCGTCGATAGACTTTTTTCGCAGAAGCTAGCAAATGTCAGGTGAAAATCATGTGACAGTTTGTGGTGAGTTTAGTGTGACCAAGTGGAAATATTTATAATATACCTCAGGCTATGATGAAATACTAAAAATACTGCATGTAAATTAAACAAATATTGGTCTTTTTATAAAAAAATTATGAATGTATTAATTATGTATGGAAATCTATTTACTTAAAAACAGTTTTGAAGTAATTTAATTTGGTTTCGACAAGTGAACAAAATTACTATATTTCTTTTCTTGGGTCGTAACGTGTACAACATACCAAACAATACACACACACACACAAATATATCCATACATGCATTCATGTAAACATACTGTCAATAAAGAAAAATCTTGTTACCAAAAACATTAACTATTATTACTAAAAGCATAACAAAAAGTATCTATGCCAACGTCATCGGTTTACCACGAAAAGCAAATGAGGCAACTGTGTGCCTTACATGCACTCAACAATCTCTTTCAAGGCGATCAATCTTATACCAAAGAGGAGCTGGATGATATATGCAACAACCTGAGTCCAAATGTATGGATTAATCCACATCGCTCTGTGCTGGGGCTTGGAAACTATGATATTAACGTTATAATGACTGCGCTGCAAAAACGGAACTGTGAAGCCATTTGGTTTGATAAGCGGAAGTAAATATCAATATTTTATTGAGCTGTAATCTATTCTAAATTTGTAATACCCCTTAGGGACCCTTCCATTATAGACCTGGACTCAATTGTTGGCTTCATCCTGAACATTCCATCTGATTATAAATTCGGAATAATAACTTTACCATTGCGCAGGCGACACTGGATAGCTGTGCGACGCATTGGGAACTCCTACTACAATTTGGACTCGAAACTTCGGCAGCCGGAACTGCTCGGTAATGAGGCGGATATGCTGCAGTTTTTACGGGAACAGCTCTCCGATGAGATACAGCAGCGGGAACTGTTTCTGGTACTCGAGCAGCGAGATGGCGAGGAAAACGGTCAGCGTTGGATCAAGCAGACCTCGAGAAATGCCGTTGTCTGACCAGAACAGCCCGCTGTCTACTCTAGTCAATATAGGACCTATGCTGAAGAGATTATTAAAGCTCAATCAAAAATTTACTGTGTGAAAAGTAAGGGAAATAACTCATTCTTTCACAATTTACATATAGTTAATGGCAAAGGTACAATTTGTATTTGATCAATGTTCACGGTCAATCGAAGATGTTTTAGATTAATGCAATTCTTTTTTTTTGTGTAATATAAATCTACGGAGTTGGAGTATTGTGGATTAAGGCAAGAACGGATTATCAAGTATATAATGACAATTGTTTGATTGAGCTTGGCTTAAGCTAAATAAACTTGTATACAAATTCATCTATATTGTTTATTGATTTGATAATCGAAATCTCAATAATCTTTGTATATATTCAACTAATTCTAATTGAACAGTCAATGGATATTATCCAAGCTACAAATTTGTGCATAAATAATTTGTTATTTTATAATGGTTTTTCGATTTCTTGTGTGTAAAGGCATTTTATTATTAAAATATATAAATACAATAACTGCACTGTAGGAAAATTTTATAATAAAACATTTATAAAAGTTTTCTGTAAAATATGGAATGATTCAAAGTTCCTTCTGTCTATATAAAATATATATTCGAGGCAAATTTGGACTTAGACTAAAGACAATGACAATGCGAACTGTTTAAACAGATTTGCTTCTACAATTGGACGGATATGTTATATACTATTCGTTCGGAGATTCGAAGTAGACCGCATTTATGGACGTGCATTCGTGAAAGACGCACATTCATTCGGAGATTCGAAGTAGACCTCATTTATAGACGTATATTTGTGAATATACGAGTCTTGTGCACTTAGATGTCCGTTTGGATGCTGCCTTGGGCTGGTGCTGTGGGTAGACGTGCTCCGGGCTGTGGGCGGCGCGGACGACTGGGTTCTTGGATGAAATACGAAGGCTGCGCGGGCGCCGAGGATGGTGCGGTAGATGCTGCAGCTGCAGCCTGACTCTGATAGTAGTCATCGCCGTATTCGCTTACTTCTCGGTTGCTGATTTCGTTGAGGCGCTTGTAACGTTCGCGGCGTGCTTCCACCAGATAGAGTATGCCTGCGGGCAACAGCATGACGGCACCAACTACGGCCAGGGCAAAGGACCAGCCCATGTCGTTGTTTTGCCAGCCAGGCATCCAGTCACGCGAATCGCCCTTGGCTCCAAAGATAACCACAGCAATGAAACCGAAAATAGATGCCAGCACCTGGCAGGTGCCAATTGTGAGCAGCAGCACCATATAGCGGTCGTCATCGCGAGATGTGCGCAGGAAAGACAACGTTAGGGGCAGGGCAAGCAGGCACATCACAAAACAGAGCGTTGCAAACAGCTGAACTGCTATATAGAATCCGGGCAGCAGAAAATCGTGTATTATATAGTATTCCTCCTCAAAGACCCACATGCAGCCCGTGAATTCGGTGTCGTAAAATCGATGTATGTCCTGGAAGTGATTGAAGCACACCTCCCATAGACCCAGATTCGTGAAGCGTGGATTATGCAGACGCCCATCGGTCACCAGCCAATAGGGCGTAGCAAAGGCAATAACAAAGAGCAGAAACGAGACTGTAGATATGCCTAGGGCAACTCGTGTGCTGCGATTGGAGGCACCCATTGCCTGCGCTTTTTTATATTTACTTTAATTCAAAATCGCAACAAACAAAACAAACAAACAAACGGAATTTTTTAATAAATAAATGAGAGCTAACTAATACAAAAAAATATTGAGTCAGTAACACACAAAACACGCCCCGGCCAGTGTGACCAAGTTTTCTGGTAAAATTAACTTGATTTGCAGCGTTGCCACATCGGTGGCAGAAACTGTATACGTATGCGACAACCCTGCAGAGTCTCTTGTTTTGTGGCATAAAAACTTGTTTGCGAAAGCAAACGAAGAAAAAATGTGTGTTTCTGGTGTTTAAATCAGCTTGGATTGCCGAAAATTATAGCCACACACAGTTCAAGCGCGTTCTTCGTTTGTTTATTATAGTAGTAATTGAATACGCAATTGTTTACAGCGGGTGCGTCGCGTTGCATTTACACTAACGCCGACGGTAACAATATGGCTTCCGAAATCGCGGTAGTAAACATTGGAAACTTTGAAAAGATTCAGAACTTTTTAAATGATACCGCATACAAGGAGATACTCGAGAACAGCGAGAACTTCAACACGCGGTTGTGCATCGAGCGGCGTCTGCGAATGCCGTTCCTCGATCCTCAGACTGGCGTCGCACAGACGCATTGCGCTCTCTTTATGAAGCGAAAGCAGCGGATGCCCGGCTTTCGACATGGCCAAATCTACACGTATCCTTCGGCACGATGGCGCAAACCTAAGCGCCAATATTTACTTAATCCACACCATAGCTACCGCGCCTACCAGTATCGGGAGCACCATCTGGCTCATCAGCACCAGCATCAGCATCAGCATCATCACGTGCCACCATCGGGTCCTGGAACGGTCAGTGCACGTGATCATCACCAAGCTGAGAGTGCAGGTAGGATTTCCAAGAAACACATATATCACAAACACACACATGCATGCAGGCATTCACCCAAACACACACATGCATCCAACAGAAGTTGTAGTAAAATCAATAAATCTCTTACAATTGTTTTTGCCTTTGTGTTCAGTCACATCCTCATCCACCACCAGCGCCCCCACCTCTGCATTGTGGTGCTCAACTCTTAAAACCACCAACTAATAGCAAAAAAAATTCAAAAGTGCAAAAGTATGTGATATTCTGTAAAGTTAATAAATGTTTGAGCATTTAATTAAAATGCATTAACATTTAATTACAAATGTGAATATATCATTAAAATGTTAAAATTCAAAAAAACATTATGCAAATGTATGTACAAATTTGTATTTATTTAATTACCAACTCAGTTAGTTTATTTAAAATAATAGCCGTATAATATATATTGTTTAAAAAACTATTAATATTATTTTAACTGAATTTCATTCAAATTGGCCCACTGTTCAATTAGAACAGCTAAACATGTGTGAGGCTTTATGAAGCTGCACATTCTGTACATGCATACATATATATAAATATAAGTGTGTGTGTGCGTATTGTTGTACGTGTGTACACAGCGCGTAACCACCCCATAAGAAAATGCTACAAGCATATTTACAATGCTTATTGGGGGCTGATTTATATATTGTCATTGTATGCTTGCCTGTATGTGTATTTGCAAGCACGCATACATACATACATAACCATGTTTACATATATTTATTTGTATTTTACATTGTTGCAGCAATTGCGGCTACAGATGGCAATTCTATGGGCGCGTCAGGTGACAATGATAGCAAGGACTCTCATGCCAATGCGGAAAAAGATTGGTTCCATGAGGATATGGACTCATCGCATTATCATCATGCCGATGACTATGAAGACGACTTTGACTCTGACAATGATTTCGACGAGTCGTATAGCAGTAGAGGAAAACGCAAGCGAGGCTCACGACCCCGCCGTACAAATGCAAATGTGGATGGCACACCGAAGCGGGGACGCAAAGGTGGCGGTAAGAAACACGTGTGGCCTAATTGTATTGTCAAGTGCAAATTTAAACGTTTACTTATTGCAGGTAATCGTCGGCGAAATGCAGCTGAAGGTGATACACCTGATCGACGGAGACGTGGCGCTGCTGGCAATAATGCAAATACCTCCGCTGCAGCTGCAGCAGCTGCCGCGGCTGTGGCACACGCTGCCAGCACTGCGGCGGCAGCGGCAGCCACTGGACTATACACAAACCACTCTAACTCAGCATCACCAATTCCCATTATTGACGAGACCTCACAGTCGGCTCTGGTGATGACGACAACTCTACCTTCATCGTACGATAAGTCTTCTCTCAATGATGGTGGCGCTTCAAACGATTCAATCCCTTTGGCCACGATGGCTAGCATGGCTAGCATGTCTACAACGACCACTGCTAATCCAACTATATACGCAACTGTAAATGCGCCACCAGCTAATCCATTGGCCAGCCCCAAAAAGAACAAGCTACGAACGGAGCGTGAGGTGGCGCAGCCTTCGCCGTATTGTGACTTCTGTTTGGGCGATCAGCGTGAAAACAAGAAAACCAATATGCCCGAAGAGCTAGTGTCTTGCTCCGACTGTGGTCGTTCTGGTCATCCATCATGTCTGCAATTTACGCCCAACATGATCATATCGGTGAAGCGCTACCGCTGGCAGTGTATTGAATGTAAATATTGCTCGATCTGTGGCACCTCCGACAATGACGATCAGCTGCTGTTCTGCGACGACTGTGATCGCGGCTACCATATGTATTGTCTGTCGCCGCCTTTGGTAACACCGCCCGAGGGTTCTTGGAGCTGCAAGCTCTGTATGGAGGAGTTCCACAAGCACAAGTAAAATACAATTATCAATTTAAGAGAGAACAAAGGCGTCGGTCGGTCGGTCGGTCGGTTGGTCGGTTGGTGGGTCGTTCGGTCGTTATAATTGTAAATGTATTTTTTATGTTTTCACTTACATGCAGCTTTCGAAATTACGTATGCCTAATTTAATTTGTCATTTAAGTATTCCTTAGTAAGTCTTTAATCTTATGTACCTATATAATTTAATTTTTTGTATTCGAAACTACGCTTAAAAGGACCGCCCCAAGTATTCTAAGTATTCCCAGACTTCCGAGCTAAATGAATTTACATGGTCATCAAGCAAATTCAATCCTTGTCGTAACATTTATTTACAAATTTTTTATGTAAATCTTATGAAATAATCTATGAAATTATAATTAACGTAATACCAATAAATACTGCATGCCTTTTTGCATATCTCACTGGGTCGTTTCTCAAGACAAGCAATATACTTATATTGAACATAATGAAAATACGTTTTCTATAAAATATACTCGAAACCTGTATAATCTTGATTATATATATATATATATATATATATATATATATATATATATATATATATATATATATATATATATATATATATATATATATAATAATGTAGGATATATAATATTATATTATAAAAGGTCTCAATTTGATTTTATTCAAAATATTTAAAGTTATTCAAGTTTAGCAGGTGTTTTATTAATTTAAAATTATTAATTTAAAATTATATTTTAGCTAAACTTTTTATTTTTTAAAATCAAAATTAAAAATTATTAAATAGTTATAGGATATAACATTGGGCCGATGACACGATTGTATCATAAAAGTATATTAATTTTAATATTGAAAATAATATATATATATACTTAAATAATTATATATTTATATATATATATATATATATATATATATATATATATATATATATATATATATATATATATATAATACTTTAGTTTGTCGCAAAAGATAACTTTTTAAATATTGCAAAATATAGCTCAACCATTTATATTCAGTTTTTATTTATAACTTTAAATTGAAATTATTTTTAAATTAAAATTCTAAAATTAGCTTTAAATTCTAGAATACTTCTGCCTACAGCAAAAAGTTGGGAATTTAACACTATGCAATGCCTCGGGTTAGTTTGTGTGAAAGCCTTTCACAACTCCAGGTGTCAATTGGCTCAGTTCAATGTAGCTCAACAAGTTGGTGATTGTTCTTACAAATAGGTGCGATTAGAGTTCTAACAGTTGATTGTTAATTATGAAGGTGCAACTCAGTTGGCTGCAGTCGCCCAATTGCCGGCAGTTGCACTTAGTCTCTTGATATGCGTTGCTTAGTGTGGTACATCTCGCTGCTGGCTCTGCCGAGCTTGGCATGGTCTGCTCAGTTGGGCGGACGATTCAAACGTTTTCTCATCTTTCCACGTCAGGCGCCCACCAGACATCAGGTAAATCGTAATTCGAATTGTACCGGAGATGAATTGCGTTTGATTGAGCTTTTTTATTTCTTTAGTTTATTGTTGGCATAGGCATTCCGGCTGATCTGTCCTATGAATCTTTGATACTGGGTCACGTACTTAAAGCCGAGTTCTTTCTGCCCTATAACGCCAGCGTATATAGACAAAATCCATACTTACCCGAATATAAACACAAAAATATTCCCATAAACCTTCGGGACGAGCTGCGACTGTTGCAAAGGCAGCCAAGCGAATTGCGTTGGCAGATTTACGCATACATCGAGCACATGTTAAATGGGTGAGTAGTAGGTTAATAAATTATATATATAATATATTATATATATAATTACAGTTATGGCTATAATGGCCACGAGTGTATGCTGCAAGCCATTTGTGAAGCGAACACAATTCAATTTTCGAAAGACTTTAGCGTCTTCCAAGAGCTGCTGCATGTGTTGTTGGCGTAAGTTGTTGTTGTTTATTGTCTATGATATTATAAATTAATACAAAAATTTATTTATGATCACAGACCTTCCACGTCTCTGAATGCAGCTGCTCCAGAGGCATATGACTTTATTTCAGCCGAAAAGGTAAACCCAAAGTCGAACAACTGTGAGATATACGATTGTAATCTAAGGCTACTCGATTGGTTTTCTCAAGTTATGCGTATTTGAAATATTTAATTTTTTAATAAAATTACAAGTATTTTGCCAATTTTACTTGACAGCTTAAGCTCTTTTACAATTATTTTAATAGCAATATTTAAAAGTTTCTTAAATTTCTCAGACAAATTTGTAGCCAATGCAATGTTCATTGACTTCAAAAGGCTTAACGTTTCTCTTAGCTAAATCTATACTCTAAATCAAAGTAAATCTGAGCAAAAGCAAAACAAAAATAAAATAAAAAATATGGTAAATGGAAGAAAAAAGATAAAGAGTTACGTGGACTTTTATAAATATTAATTTTATATTATAAAATGCTATAATGGGCTTTAGTATATAGATATTTGGAAAAGTATAGTCAACAATTTCTATCAAATTTTATTGCCATTAAAGGAAAAGAGGAGAAAACGATTTGATAGAGAGATATTAAATTGACACGAGGAAAAATAACTAAGATTTCCATGACATATATTGATTAGAACTGGGGAATACTGACAGGCCGGAAAATCAAATATTATTTAGAAGCTTTCCGAACCACAGATTCAGATAGTTCTCAATTTGTAGTTTTATAAAATTTTGAATTTGAATTTATTGAACTCTTTCGAACATCTTATTACAAATTTTCCATTAATGTTTAATTTCCGGCTTAAGTAAATATATAGTGCATTAGAATCCAGTAACTAGAGACATTTAGATTACCTATCACTAGCGCAATGCATCGATCAGTGAAGTATTTGCATGGAGTGCCGCGATCACTGTGCAGGGCACTGCATGAAACGGCTGTTACCAGAGCTTTGTCCTTTTCGGTCGAGGATATTGTGCGGCTTGTTGAACCGACAGCCGATGCTCTGTATCATAGGGAAAGTCTACAAGTTGTCACAGATCGAGACTATAAATATAAGGAAGGCCAGAACTATCATGGATTCCAGTGTGAGCGAGTCGAGTATATCTCAGACTTCGATCTAACATCCCACACGCTGCGGCATATGGAAACGGGCTTGGAACTGTGGTACCTCAATCGCAATGATACTAATAATGTTTTCTCAATCAATTTTCGGACGCCTCCTGTCGACTCGACGGGCGTGGCGCATGTCCTGGAGCACCTGACCTTGAATGGCTCAGAAAAGTATCCGGTTCGCGACCCGTTCTTCAAGATGCTGAATCGTTCGGTGGCGACCAATATGAATGCGCTGACTGGAGCTGACCTAACGGTTTATATATTCTCCACCAGAAACGAGACGGATTACAGAAATATCCAGCGTATCTATTTAGATTCAGTTTTTAGGTAAGACCTATGACTCGCTTATGACAGCTGAAATGCTTAAGCTTCTCGCTTTTCCAGGCCCAGTCTATTGTATATAGACTACCTTCAGGAGGGCTGGCGATTCGAGCACAAGAACGTGCATGATAAACGATCAGAGATCATTATTAAAGGCATCGTCTATAATGAAATGATTGGAATATTTTCAGAGAACTCTAGACTGTTCAGGAAAGGCCTCGTGAGCAACTTGTTACCTGAACTGGCCTACAAATACACAGCCGGTGGAGATCCACTGGAAATACCCAATTTAACGTACTTAAAATTAATTGAGTTCCATCAGAAATATTATCATCCGAGCAATGCGCGCATTTTCTGCTATGGCAGCTTCGATATAATGGATACCCTGGAGTTCCTCAATGAGGAATACCTGTACCACTATGATTACACAGACCCGGCGTATAGCCATGTACCTCTCCATCCGCGTTGGTCGTCCCCACACTATGCCCACTTGCCATGTCGACTGGTTAGCCGGGGCGCTCCCAAGGACAAGCAGAATCAAATCGGCTGCGCGTTGCTGATGTGCGATAGAACCAATGTGCAGGAGGTCTTCGAGCTGAATGTGCTAGCGGAGCTATTGATTCGAGGCCCTAACTCGGCCTTCTACAAGGGCCTGGTGGAGCCGAACTTCTCCGGTGGCTTCAATAGGAATACGGGCTATTACTTCACCAGCCGAGATACGTACTTTGCTGTGGGGCTGCAAGATGTAAGCGCTGCAGACTTCGACCGATTCTACGAGCTGTTCCAGCAAACGCTGCACAAGACATTCATAAAAGGTTTCGATCCCAATCATGTGGAAAGTGTGCTGCATAAGCTGGAAATGTCTCTCAAGCATCAGACCGCTGACGTTGGTAATACTCTGCTGTTCAGCTCGATGGCACTGTGGAATCATGGCGGTGATGTCGTTGCCAATCTGAGAGTGTCGGAAATGTTGAGGCTGCTGCGTGCCAAACTATCGGAGAATAAATACTATTTGCAGCAAAAAGTTGAACAATATTTCCTAACAAATTCACACAAGCTGACATTGACCATGTCACCAGATGAATCGTATGATGAGAACTTTAGGGAAGCCGAGAAGAAGCTGATAACACAAAAGCTTAGTGAACTTAGCCCAGGTAGTTTGGGGAAGATATATCGGAATGGGATTCAATTGGAGGCGACTCAAAAGGCTAAAGAAAATACAAATGTTTTGCCCTGCCTCTCGCTGGAAGACGTTGATGAACCAATAGGGCATCCTCAGTTGACGGAGGAACTCATTGATAACGTACCCACCCAATTGTGTGCGGTGCCCACTAACGATATCACCTATCTGAATTGCCTTTTCAATATTACGTCTTTGAGTCACGACGACGCTATGCTCGTGCCGCTGTTTTGCAATGTGTTCAAGAACATGGGCACCAGAAACCATGACTTTCGGGAATTCGACAAGATGATTCTCTCAAAAACTGCCAACTTTGACTTTAAGGTGAAAGTGGTCGAAGACGTTGAGCACGGAATGTCTTATAAAATTGGTTTGCTGATGACGACCTACGCTCTGGACAAGAATGTAAAGGATATGTTTGCGCTGTGCGAAGAGTTACTCCTGAATTTCAAGCTGGACGACACAGATCGCCTGAAGATGCTCATTGAAAACTACATTTCCAAGTTATCTGTGGGCATCGCAGTTTCCGGGCATTTGTATGCCATGCTGTGCTCCGCTGCACTGGTCAGTGACGCTGGTCAGCTGAAATCCCATTTGTTAGGCATTGATCACATCGATTTTATGAAGAATTATATTGAACAGAATAGTATAGAAGATATACGTGACAGATTAAAAGATATTGGCTCGAAGGTGTTTAGCAAGAGCAACATGCGTGTTGCCATCAATAGCTCAGAGGATTTTCAGCCAACCGTCCTGGAACACTACCAGACTTTCCTGCAAAACCTGCCAACGTTCGAAGATATGACTGAGACGAGTAAACTGAGGTTGTTGGAGCCAAGTTTCCAACATTATGTAATGAATGTTCCCGTTAACTACTGCGCAAAATCATTCTTCGCTGTGCCATATTTGCATGAAGATCATCCCGTATTGCGTGTGATTGCCAAGCTCGTATCGGCCAAGTATCTGTTGCCTGTGGTGCGGGAGCAAAATGGAGCTTATGGCACGGGCGCGAGAATTGGCTATGATGGTCTCTTCCATTTCTACAGCTATCGTGATCCGCACTCTCGAAAGACCTTGGATATATTTGACAAAACTTACGAATGGCTCGCAGCTATGAGTGATAGGCTGGATCACCAGACACTTTTTGAGGCCAAGCTGGGCGTGCTGCAGTTGCTCGATTGGCCAACAGCACCTGGTGAACTTGGCATTGATTACTTTATACTAAGAGTCTCGCATGAAGACTATTGCAAATATCGTTCTCGCGTTTTAAGTGTAACTGCCGATGAGGTACGCTCTGTGGTTCATAAGTATTTTAAAGAAGAACCGCGTCATGTTGGTAAATGTATTTTAGGGCCGCAAAGAGAAAGAATTCAGTCCCAAATAGAGAACGTTTGAAATGAATGTTAAATTATCTTAAGTTATCTTAATGTCGTAAATAAATGACGCATGCACAGAAGAACATTTAATATAATTGTTTGATTTAAGTTCCATGAAATTATTTTAATTAAGTTTGGCCGTTGAATGCGATTTTTTAAGTTAAATGGCTCGATAACAAACTCTAATGCTCGGTTAAATGAACCGAATCGGTATTTTGTTTGGGATAAAAATATACAAAAAATACTAAGATCGATTTGTCTTATGCAAATAAAAGTATATCGATAGACTTCAAGAATATTGACTGCTGGTAAACTCATAAGTAGTGTGCAGATGACGAAAGTTTAAAATATTGTTTTTCTAAGAATTGGTAAGTTGTAATAAGAATAGTGCAAACTGAAATTATAAACCTTCAAAATGAGTGTTTGGAATTTCAATCAGAGTGTCAGTCAAATCTGTTGTGTACAAAAAAGCACTCAATATAAATTAAGCAAACACTCATATATATACAGGCACATATTTTTATATGCATACATGCAAAACGTAATGAATGCCGGCTGATGTAACTAAAACTCGTGTCGTGTTTTATGTTGATTTTTATTTAATTCATGCCGCTTGATGTGTTGATTATATCTGGATAACATCTGCAACTTGTATTGTGTACCTATTTATAGACTCGCACTTACGAACCAACAAAATAAAATATGTTCCCACGTCTGCAATGGCTGAAGGCGATGCCGCGCGCCCTTCGGGAGCTGCCGGGTCAAACGTCCAAACGATCTTTCAAGTCATTCGCCTTCAACGAGACCAAGAGAGGCGCCAGTACGGAATCGGAACCGGCGTTAAGTAGCGGAATACCACATATAATGGGAGGTCGTAATTACAAATATAGTGAGGGCCAAGTATATCACGGCTTCCTGTGCGAACGTATAGAATATATACCCGACTTTGAGCTGGTCTCATGTACGTTGCGGCATTTGGGCACGGGGACGGAGTTTTGGTACATAGATCGGAATGATACGAATAATGTATTTTCCATTAATTTTCGTACCACCCCATTTGATTCGACGGGGCTGCCGCATATATTGGAGCACCTTGCGTTATGTGGTTCCAAAAACTTTCCAGTTCGCGATCCATTCTTTAAAATGCTAAATCGTTCGGTTGCAACTTTTATGAATGCCATGACTGGCCCGGATTACACGCTATATCCATTCTCAACCATGAACGAGGTGGACTTTAGGAATCTGCAAAAGATCTACTTGGATGCGGTGTTCAGGTAAGTTTCATATGAAAAATAATTTTTTAATTTACTTAACTACTTTTTACTGTATTACAGACCAAATTTGGCGTATTTGGATTTTCTGCAAGAAGGCTGGCGTCTAGAACACAAGGAATTAAGCAATAACAACTCTGAGCTTGTTATCAAAGGTGTCGTCTATAATGAAATGAAGGGAGCCTTTTCGGAAAATTCGCAGGTTTTTATGCAAAATCTGCTGAACAATATGCTTCCGGATCATACGTATGGCTACGTATCTGGTGGCAATCCACTGGAGATTCCCAAATTGACCCACACGGATTTGGTTAAGTTCCATCGCAAATACTATCATCCAAGCAATGCGCGCATGTTCTGCTATGGTTCGTTTGACGTAATGAAAACACTCGCATTTGTCGACAGTGAATACTTGGCCGAACATTCGTGTATAGACGATTCCTATAGCCGTATACCAAATCAAAAGCCTTGGTCGCAGCCACGCAATGTACACATTCCTAGTCGACTAGACAGTTTGGGTGCCACCTTCGATAGACAGAACCAGATAGCTATCGCGCTGCTGATGTGTGATTCGACCAATATACAGGAAAGTTTCGAACTGAATGTACTATCCGAAATATTGATTCGTGGCCCCAACTCGGCTTTCTATAAGAGCTTAATAGAGCCAAATTTCTCTGGAGGCTACAATCAGAGTTCGGGCTATTCGTCGGATTGTAGGGACACATATTTCGTTGTGGGCCTGCAGGACCTGAAGGTTGAAGACTTTACAAAGTTTAATGAGCTATTTGATCAAACTGTTCATACAACTATCGAAGAAGGCTTTGAAGCTCAGCACATTGAAAGCATTCTGCACAACTTGGAATTATCATTGAAGCATCAGAGTCCTCACTTTGGTAATGCTTTGTTATTTAACTCGACGTCTTTGTGGAATCATGATGGTGATGTTGTCAGCAGCTTACGAGTTTCGGAAATGATTGCCCAGCTGCGCTGCAGACTTAAGGAGAACAAACACTATTTCCAACGGAAAATGGAAAAGTACTTTGTAAACAATACTCATAAGCTAACACTAACAATGTCACCGGACGAAATGTATGAGGAGAACTTCAAGCAGGCTGAGGCTGAGATGTTAAAACAGAAAGTCAATGCGCTCGATTCCGAAAAGCGACAAGAAATATATGAGAATGGCATCAAATTGGAGTCTTCTCAAAAAGCAAAAGAAAGCACGGATGTCTTGCCGTGTCTAACGCTGAATGATGTTAAGGAACCACCCAAACTACCGATGATAGAAACGAAAACTTTCGCCGATGTTCCCACTCAGCTGTGCAAGGTGCCCACTAATGAGATTTCCTACTTTAAATGCTTGTTCAATATTACTGGACTAAGTCGAGATGAACTCATGCTTATCCCATTATTCAGTAACGTCATTAACGACATGGGCACTGCCAACCACAATTTCCGTGAATTCGACAAGCTCGTTCTTTCCAAAACTGCTGGCATTGACTTTAAATTGAATTTCGTTGAGAATGTAAAGGACGCAAAATCGTATCAAGTGGGCTTAATGATGACCACGCACGCTCTCGACAAGAATGTGAAGGATATGTTTGAACTGTGTAAGGAGTTGCTGCTTAATTTCAAACTTGACGACACGGATCGCCTGAAGATGCTCATCGAAAACTACATTTCTAATATATCAGTTGGAATCGCCAGTTCCGGTCATTTGTATGCAATGCTAAGCTCCGCTGCCCTGGTCAGTGATGCTGCCCAACTGAAATCCCTGTTATCGGGAGTTGATCACATTGATTTTATGAAGAAGTATGTCGAACAGAACAGTACAGAGGAGATCCGAGAAAGATTAGTTCATATTGGTTCGAAGGTCTTTAGCAAGAGCAACATGCGTGTCACCATCAATACTTCAGAGGCTTTTCAACCAACTGTCCTGGAGCACTACCAGACTTTCCTGCAAAACCTGCCAACGTTCGAAGATATGACTGAGACGAGTGAACTGACATTGTTGGAGCCAAGTTACCAACATTATGTAATGAATATTCCCGTTAACTACTGCGCAAAATCATTCTTCGCTGTGCCATATTTGCATGACGATCATCCCGTATTGCGCGTGCTCGCTAAACTCATATCGGCCAAGTATCTACTGCCTGTGGTGCGGGAGCAAAATGGAGCTTACGGCGCAGGTGCCAAAATTGGCTCAGATGGCATATTCGCATTCTTCAGTTATCGCGATCCGCACTCTACGAAGACACTGGATGCCTTTGATAACACCTACGATTGGTTAATGGCGGAAAGCAGTAAGCTCGATCAGCAAACAATATTCGAGGCCAAATTGGGTGTACTGCAGCAGCTGGACTCGCCCACTGCACCTGGCAACATTGGCATCGATTTCTTCCTCTATGGCGTTTCGCAGGAGATGTTTGTGAAATATCGATCACGCGTGTTGTCCGTAACCGTTGACGAGCTGCAAACAGTTATTGATAAGTACTTTAAAGAGAAACCAAAACACGTTGGCAAATGCATTTTAGGGCCCACCAACGAAAATTTAGAACAGGAAACTAAACTGAATTGGAAAATCATATCTTAATTGTCGCGTATTACAAATTGAAAATTTTGACTGTATATATATACATACCTATAAGCTACAACATTTCACTTATTTCTATTTTATATACGTTATTCTGCTATATAAGTTTTTGTGTTTGCCAACGAAAGGAGTTGATTCTATGTTAACACTAATTAAAGCAAGTTGTCTTTGTTAAATGTCTTTCTTTACGACATAGTTACAATTACCTGACCCAAAGATTGTGTATCAATTCTACTTAAAATCAGACCATTTCTATTAGAACTTAAGCAAATTGAAAGTACTTTGCAATACAGTCGCATAGGATTTGCTTTTTCTCATTTTCAGCCATGTCTTTGCCGAGGGGCTTTGCCAATGATGACGCATATTTTCGAGCTGCTGTGGACTTCTTGCATCAGCACTCGTGGATATATCGCGAGGCGAATACAAGTTGCCTCAAGTCATTCGATGCTATGCCTGGTTATATGAAGGATTATTTCCTGGAACTAACAAATGATCAGCTGAACATATTTCCATTTGTTCAGGAGCCTTTGGGGGAATGCCCCAAGGAGGTGTTACGCTTTCGCCAAGAGATTGCGAATTTGACACCCACGCAAGCAGCTGCAGCAGCACCTGCAGGCGACATGCCAGGAAATGCTACCAGGAATAATTGCAAAATGTCAACCAAAAAGTTGCATGAAATTGATAAGTTGGCCACACACATTCATGAGCATTGCCCAGATACAAAGTTCATAGTCGACTTGGGCTCTGGGCTGGGCTACTTGAGCGAAGCACTACTCAAGCTGAATGATAATTACCTGATACTTGGCCTGGAGGCAGACGAGAAGCGCGTACACACAGCGCGTCAACGCAGCCAGACCGCAGCTAATGCAAATTCGATTAGCTACGAACAACTATTTATTACAGCCGATGCCAGCTGCTGTGCTCGCATTCAGGAATATGCAGCTGCGCTGGGGCTGGAGCAGGCGCCCACTGCGCTAATTGGTCTGCATGCCTGTGCCGACCTGAGCATCAGTGCAATGCTCTTGTTTTTGCGAATGCCACAAGTGCGTTGTCTTCACATTATGCCCTGCTGTTATCACAAGCTCGCCTTGAGCGCGGATGCCTGCTCGTTCGTCAACTTTCCGCTGAGTAGAGCTCTGAAGGAAGCCATGTCGACAGTTTCAGCTGCTTGCTTCAATCGACCCTTCCTGCGCTTGGCCTGCCAGCAGACTAATTCACGCTGGCAAAGTGACGGCCAGGCCCATGTGGAGCATGGCAAACAAATGTTTGCGCGTGCTTTGGCCGCAGCTCTGTGCGATGACGACGAGTTGACTAGAGTCAGGCGGCCAGGCAAGGCACAGACTGACTGCCACGATTGGCAAACGTTTGCCAACATTAAGCACAAATATCAGCTGCACTCACGACAAACGGGCCTTGCCCTGGACTGGCGGCCCATACATGAGAGCCGCTTTGATGCAATTAGCCAACTCTATGCCAACGGTCGTGGCGCCTGTTTGGCGGAGGCTTTGACTTGCTTGCAGGCAAGCATTCAGGTACTTTACTGATTTGTTTACCCATCAACCTCACTGATTCCAATGCATATCTTTTGCTCAGCTGCTGTGCGAGAATGTCCTGTTGTACGACCGCTTGTGCTATCTGAGGGAGCTGGCTGCAGCGCAGCAATTGCGCCTGACGGTGCGCTATGAGAAGCTGTTTGATGAGAAGCTATCGCCACGCTGCCACGTTCTGATTGCCGAAAAGTTGTGATGCGGGCGGAACAGTAGAGAGCCAAGACAGCTCTCTGATGACATTTTTGCCAATGCCACTTAATACAATTAGCAAGCACTTCGCCTCTAGCTTAAAATCTCTCCCTCTCTCTCTCTGTTAGGAGGTGGAGTACTGCGGCGTTTACCGCTATCCGTTGCCAACAATTAAAATCAATGCCAGCTAAGGGAAACTTTTGCGTTACGCCGACTTAATTTCTATCATTTCTGCATTTGTTGCCTGCTCAAGAAAGCATTTCACGTGTAAGTGCTCTGCCTTTTTGTGCTCATTACTTGTATCGGTGCGGGCCTGGCTATGATAATTAAATTTCTTGTACTACTTACGGCGACAAACGTGCCGCCTACAAACATACATCACCTGTACCTGTACCTGCAGCGCCAGGTGTAGGCACAGCAAATGTGTCAGCCCGCACAAATGCATTAGCACAATGGAAATCGCTTTATTATGGCCAAGATTTTTTCTTACGGGAAAGACATTTAAGAATTTATATAGTGAGTGAGAAATGTGAAGATGCGATTTAACAATGGCCTGAATGGCCCCTAAAAAGAATATGTAAAAAATAATAAACCTAAAGATGTTGGCCTAGACTGCATGTTCAATAAGTTTCAGAATATCTATAAAATATTTTCTAAATGTATATATAGAAAATATATATATTTAGAAAATGCTTAAATTTAGAATTGCTTAAATTTTAAGTTCAGAAAGTTTTATTGATTGAAATGGGATTTTTTATATATAAATGGTTTATAAAACATATTCAATTATATATAATGTAGCTATAAAATATATTTGTTATGAAAAAAAAATTTAAGTTTAACTGCCCTTAAAATTCTTGATATTTAATTGGATGAGAGCTTACTTGACTTGAATTCGTTTTCTTCTTCTATGCATTTGTTTGAACAACTTTGAATATTTTTTAAAATTCGTATAAATCCTGGCAAGCAAAGCATCGACAGTAAGTATAACAAAATTAAGTGTATAAAAATAAGATATATAGAGGATAAGCTACCGCAGTTATATAAAAAAACATATAGAAGATGACAACAGTCTCTAAAATACAACCAACGATCAAAGAGTCTGCGCTTTGACTGCTATTATATACTTACTTTCCAGTACCTGCTTGAAGATTAAATAACGAATATTCCAACTAAGAGATTAACTACATTCTGGGATCAGCCCAAGCAGCTATATCTTAAGAATGCCCCAAATTGAGAGAGAGGAGACAGAGTTAAATAGGTTTGTATATATCTGTTTGCCTTTATTGAACGTTTACATTTGTAGTTTGGAGCGAAAGAGTAATACATGCATAATAAAAAGTATTCATATGCAGTACACACAGTGCATCACATGTGTGTATGTATGTGTACGTAGTTATATAATCGATAGATTATTCATATGCGAAGCTAAAGGATCCTTTATACCCAGTTAATGGAACGTACTGTGTTAAGCATTAAAGTACAATTCGTCAATATATATATATATATTTATGTATATATATTAAGTAATGTAACCTAGTTTATGTTATTTGATACAGATGTACAGTAATGTATGTATTTATGTATTATTTTTATTGTATGCTTACTTATTTACACGGTTATTGTTGGGTATTAAAACTTTTCCAGCCCCGTTAAAAATTTTAATACCATTTAACAAGATACAAGATACGCCACATAGATGTATGCGTGTATGTATGTGTGTGTGTGTGTGTGTGTGTGTGTAGCTGAGAATGGATAACAAGGATATTTAACTAGCCAGAGGATCGTTTGCCAATGAATGCATAAAGCCAGGCCATCTCTTACTTAACATTGGTGTTGGCATCCTCCGAGCCTATACTATTGTTGTCCAATGGCATGTTCAGGTTGAGGTCCTCCGAATTGGCATTGCTGCAGCGATAGAAGTTGCTGATGCCCGTGTAGACGCAGGACATGGTCATGGTTAGAACGGGCGTAGTTCGGGCTCTGCTGCTGGGTTTCTCATTGCTGGCTTCAAGCTCGCGCTCGGGCTCCCGCAAGGAGGCTTTGCCCAGGCCCAGGCCGAGGCTATTCTGTTCGTAGGGCGAGAGATATTCATCGCTGCGCTTGCCATAGCGCGAGCCCAGAAAGAAGCGATCGTTGCGTGGCACGATGATTAGGCGTCGCGTCTTCGAGGTGCCCATGCCGTTGCTAGCGGCGCCATTGCCAGAGGCGCCATTGCCACTCGAGCGTCCGTATCGACTGCCCACGAAAAACGACGGACGTTTGACCAAGCTGGGAAACTCTAAAAACGAAACAGTTTTAGCTCCAATTTGAACAATCCAATCCGCTTGATAGCTAACCGTTGTCCTTGTGCAGTTCATTTTCGACATACGTCGCATCCGGCTCGACTGCCAAGACACCTTGCGCCAGAAAAGCCAGAAAGGTGAGCAATAAAATGCCTATAAAAGATTTTCGTGATTTGCTCTGGAATGCCATCGACTGGGAGGACATGCTGGCCAGCAGATTTGCGCTCTGAAATAAAATAAATTCAAATGTTCATCAGCATTTGAGGTCGTCACCCGTTCAGGGTAAGTCTGTGTGGGTGTGGCCATTAAATGCATAATAACTAAGGTGATATGCTGCAAGCTATCTCAAACATATATCAGAAGAGGGAAAGCCGCAATCCTTGAGGCTGAGATGAGCTGAGGGCAGCTGTGCTCTGGACATAGTGAATGAATAATTAGAGCATAAAACAGAACTTTTCTATGTTGATTTTTTATTAGCCAAAAACTAAATTCAATATTTAGTCATAATATAATTAATTTTATAATAATATTTAAAGTATTAATACGACTTAAGCTCAAGTTAATTTTGTTAAAATTAAAAATTTTAGTATATAAAAATATTAATATAATTTTAATATAAATTTAAAAAAAATATTAAGTGTTCATACAGAACCTTATTTGAAACCAAGTAGAAGATGAAGAAGTGATATTTTCATAAAAGTTCGTTGATATATATATGTATCCGATATCAGAAATATTTAAAACTAATTTAATAATTTAACTTTATATTTTGTCACGTCTACAGCTGCCTCATCTTGCCTACCCTAATATATACTAAAATTCTGTACCCTTTTTTATAACAAGCGCCAAACTCCAGAGACTTTCCTCTCAAGTGAGTATCAATTCTTTTTAGTTGTTAGTGGCCATCTTAATCGGACCACTGTACTTTGCAGCTGAAACACCTGTAAGCCGGCAGCTGTGGCATCAGCTTGTCTTATTCAATTTGTTTTCATTAATACGAGTAAAAGTAAAATTTGAGTTTGTCCAGGAGAGAGCCTGACGACGTGCATTAATGGTAATTACAATTGTTGCCGTTGGCCAGCGTGAAATGTTCGGCAGCTGAGCTGAGCTGAGCTGCATCATTTGTATCGAATGTCGCCTCTGCCCCCGTCTTTCAGGTGTAATACCTTTGGACACGTATATTGCGTGGCTCTTGCGTTATAATTAAATTTTATTTTTTCATAGCATTAATAATGTGGGCGGGCGAGCTGCAAGGGCACAAAAGAATGCCGTGCCCACGCACACACTTATTTATGCCTCTCTTTATATGAAGAACTGATCATACATAATGCCTTCAGTCAAGTGCAATAATTGAAAATAAGTAAGAGTGCAGTGGTCGAGAGTGCACGAGGAGCAGATACCCTCAGCTCTGAGCTCATTCTGCAAGTGCAGCAATTTAAAATGTTGTAAGTCGTAGGGAGTGCTCGACTAGGAAATATCCTGCATCTTGAGCAGCGCTGCTATCTTCACTCATTCTACAAATGCAATAATGTAGGGGGTAGGGAGTGCTCGACTAGTAGATATCCTGCATCTTGAGCAGCGCTCATTCTACAAATGCAATAGTGTAGGGGGAATGCTCGACTAGGAGATACCCTGAGGGGTTTTTATGAATCGACCTATAGTTATTACTGCTTTTCTTTGGCGCTAGGTGAAACATCTTAATGAAGTTATACAAATGTATATATATGTCATGGATATGAATGGAGTGAAGGGATATTCAGCTCGGATACATATTGATAATACATTTATATTCATTATAAAAATATACATATACCAAATATCGATATTTATCGATCATAAGAAAATGGAAATATAAACTGTACAGAATTTATATTTGAAGGTTGACAAATGAACTTCTTATCAGAAATATATATTAAGTGCAATATATAGTAATATATATTATGTAGTGCAGCACTACTATTTTAATGAACACTAGCATGCCTAAGATATCTGTGTGCACAGCAAAATTCTACCCCAAATTTCCATTGTCAATAGAGACAAACTGGAAATTGGGTTACGATAGCCAATGAAGCCAGTGATGAAAGGCGCAACGAGTTAGCTAAGCTTTTGATAATTGGGAGCAGCCTTTCATTTCCTTCTGGTCTTCATGAAATTGAGGCAGTTATAAAATCAGTTACCACAGCGATAGAGCCCAAATTGGTGCTGCCAACGCCTACGTGAGTGATTAGCCCAGCAGCAAAGAGCAAGAGGTAACGCAGTAGCAGCAGCAGCAGCAGCAGCGTCTGCTATAAATAGTAAATCCCTCAGCAGAAGAGTTCAGTAGGAGACAGACGCAGCATTCGAATCTAGCAAAATGCAATTCACAATCAATCCAAGCGCAGAGGGAGTCCGCAAGGAGCAGAGAATGTTGCCTCTTCTTCTGCTGGCTTTGGTAGCTGCAGCTGGCTGCAGTGCCTCCGGCGAGAAGACGCTGCCAAAGCGCAGCCTTGGCGATGCATCCATTCCCTGGACAGCGACGAGCACTGGACAGCTGGGCAGTGGCTGGAATACAGCTGGAAGCTGGGCTAGCCAGTTGGCAGGCAGCAGTGGCGCCTGGAGTGCTGGCCACGGCCCACTGAAGACTGCCCCGTCGCCAAATGAAGTGGCCAATGCCATTTCAGCTGCCAAACAGGCATCAGCCAATGTGCTGATCGCCCAGCAGCAGATGCAGGCGGCCAAGGAGAATGTCCTCAATCAGCAGCGCATCGCCATGGAGAAGGAGACCCACGCCGCAATACTGACGCAGAAGTCTGAGGCAGCTGCGGCCATACAACGTTCGGAGGCGGCTTCGGCTGCTTCGGCTGTGGTGTTGGCTCAGCAGCGTCTGGCCGCCTCCAAGGCAGCAGTTGCCTATCAGCAGCGCATCGCTGCCGCCCGCGAGGCGGAGGCAGCTTCGGCACTGCAGCGATCCGCTCATGCTGCCGCCGCCGAGATTCAAAAGACCGAATACGAAGCAGCCAAGTTCGGGCAATTCACACGAAATGGCAATGCCGGCGCAGCTCATCACCTGACGATCATTAAGGATGCAGCACTCTCGCCCATTACTGCGGGCACGAATCATGTCACCAATCTGGAGACGCTTGGCCTGGGACCCTGGCTAAATGGCAATGCCGTCAACAAGCCGTCCCCCGGCTCTGCCTGGTTGTAAGACAAGCATTTCTAAGACCTGATTATCTAAATATATTTTAAGTGCATTGAAAATGGTGTTGAATTGAAATCTTATCTCTAGCAGCGCAGCCAGCTATCGTGGGCAAGCTGACGATTGAGGAGCTCTCCTCTATGAGCTAGGGCTGACTATATATCATAATATATATGATATATCATATCACATCATATCATATCATGATGTGTCTTATAATGACAACAGTTCCAGTCATATGATGTAATATTCCTACTTCAGTCATATGATGTAATATTCCTAACTGTTCTATTCTGCCACATCTACAAAGCTAACATTATCTTTGAGTTTAAGAGCCCTTTGCATGGATAAAGCAAGTGAATGTATGGATTTAAGTTCTGCTAATGATCGGCCCTGCGCCTTAGCGCAATTATTCTGTGAGAACTTTGCCATAAGCTGACTGCTTTATGCTTTTATGCCAATCGCTTTCTATACTTCGATAATATGAAGTACCTATAATAATTTAGAAATAATAATATATCATTCAATAACTGCCTGATCAACAGCAAGAGCACCAGCAACTGCAGCAGCTTCCTTTATATAAACAAATGTTGTTGATAGCAGCAGTCTCAAGTAGTAGATAGACACAGCATTCGTGCTTAGCACCTTAAGTCACAAGCATTCAAAACGTACAAGAAGCCAACTAGTGCTTCTAGATGGGGACAGGACACATGAGGCGTAGCCTCTGTGTTCAAATGGGCGAAATTATAAATATTTATATTGAAAATTCATCTCTTCTCTCTCAACTTTCATTCATTCATTCACATTCTCATTCATCTCTATTCGATTATAAGTTTATAGGCAGATTTTTTTTGAGCCCTGATCCTTGTATAAATAAAGCCTCAATAAGAGCAATAGGTATATATATTATATATATGCAAGAGGTATATAAAATACTTATCTATAGCTAGCATTCCAAACTGAATTGTTGATACCAAATATATTTCACAATTTATATCATAAATCATCTCACAATGCAGATCAGCTTATATCATATAGTAAATGCTTATCAGGCCTTAAAAATACATATATATTTGGCAAATGTCAAAAACTTGATGATTTCACGTCATTTGGGTCATGTGAGCTCAGGCTGTAGTTTAGCCTAACAAATGTTCAGTTGACAGTTGATTGTCCGCTCACAGCTTGGCCTATTGCACGTTTGCCCATCATTTTTCTTTCTGGGTTGGCTTAAACAAATTAATTACAAGCAATTGCCAGTGTGCGCTTTAGATCAAAATGCCGACTCGTTCTCTGTCTCTTGCTGTTTGTGGAGCAGACTTTTTAGTCTGGCACGCTTTGGGGGAATGTTTATATATATATAGTATTTTTTTTTGCTTCATGCCAACATGTTTGCGAGTTGGTCTCGTTGGGGCGTGGCTTGACCTGAGGCAAAAGCTTTGGTAACAAAGGAGTAGCCTCTGCGTCGTCTGCTTCCCTGAAATTTGCGCACTTTTGGGACAAGTTTCTATGGCCCCACCCTAGGTGTTTGTCCCATTTTTAGTATGTTACTAACTAGTCGCGCTGCTCGCCCTCTAATTTGCAGCTAGCCAAACCAAAGTTCGGTGTGTGCGGTTACAAAGGCAGCGCGTGTGGCCATTGTCGGCGCTGAAGCTGAACAGTTTTTTACATTTTCCTCAATTTATATATATGTACATGTGTGTGTGTGTGTGCATTAAAAGGAAAACTGCATTGCCACAGCTAATGAGCCATAATTACACATATATTCCATGCAACCTGAGGGAATTCATTTTAAAGTAGATTTTTACGTCAGCTTCAGCTGTTTGCCACTAAATTCTGCTTCATTGGTTTGTATTATTCGACAATATTATCAGGTGACCCATATCTGGCATATGCTAAAAATTTGCTTGTTAAAAAAACTATAATTATCAACTGGGCTGCTGGAAATTACAATTTTAACTAGCATCAGATCTTAGCTAACTTTCTGTGGAGTCTCTTTAGTCTCTTTAGTCATTTGCATAATCAAATAATATATGTAAATTTTTAAAAAA